ACACCATAAATAAATTACATGTCAAAATGTGTGGGTGTGTGTTGTTGTTGTTAGTGCGTGTGTGCGTTTGTGTGTGTGTGTGTGTGTGCGTGTGTGCGTGCGTGTGTGTGACATTTTGATGCCATTCAAAATGACGAAACGATATTATAGGCAAACAACGCCATAAAATACAAAGCGACAAAAAACAACAATATACAAAGCGATACAAGACAACAAAATACAAAGCAATGCAAAACAATAATAAATAATATAAAATAATATATAAAATATAAATATAAATTATATAAAATAACATCCAAACGGTAAACCATCGATACCAGAAGAATTAAATCAACAATCAATCAGTAAGTCAGTCAGTCAGTCAGTCAGCCAGCCAGCCATTACGCGTATAAATCTTCGTTCACACTCCTAACTTTTATTCTTTTTTAAATCTTCATAGCTAATGCAATTATTACTATCATCATCACCAGCATCATCATCATCAACACCATCATCATCAACACCCATCATCATCCCATCATCGCCATGATTATTATGATACTATAATTATTACAACAATTATTTTCATTAAGAAATTATATATTGACCTTACGATACTTTGTGGAGTTCACCATATTATAGCGCTAGGTGTAGATCTTTATTCGTTTCGTTCTATTTGTATAGCGCTAAATTCACATTACGCTACTTACAGGGCTCTATTTATATAAGAGATTTAGTTTATTTGGTTAAAGATTTGAATAACTTGTATCTATCTAACCATTTTTCTATATCTTTTGTATGTTTCTTTTTCTAATTGTTTCTCTCTCTCTCTCTCTCTCCTCTCTCTCTATCTTACTCAATATCTTTTTGTTACTTTTTCTAACTGTTCCTTCCACTCTCTCTTTCTATATTTAATATATATAATAACTACCTAAGTGATAAATAAAGAAGCCTTTAAATTAAATCATTCATTCGATATGCCTGCATATGGCTACCAAATGTTAGGTAATCAGAACGGTGCCATATCCATAACAATAATAATAATAATAAAAATAGTAATAATAATAATAATATAATAGATAATAATAATAGCGATAATAATAATAATAATATGACTGATAATAATAATAATAATGATAATAATTATCTAAGTTATAATAACACTAATGTAGGCAGATTTGACACTAAAAGTTTCCCATAAATTTCAAAGGATGGTTTTTACTTTCACCATCTGTGTGTGTGAGTGTGTGTGTGTGTGTGTGTGCGCGTGTGTGTCATCTGTAACCAGATGTGTGTCATCTGTAACCAGATGTGTGTCATCTGTAACCAGATGACACAAACAAACACACAAGCCTCTTTTTCATGATCTAAAATCAAGTAAGAGTTGGTAGCTTGGAGAAGATATCTTCACAGGATTAACTTGACAATGTTGGTTAAGTGTAAAAACGTGTTTGTGTGTGTTTGTGTGTGTGTCTGTGTGTACTTTTGTGTGTCTGTTTGAATGTGTGTTTGATTGTGAGTGGAGATGTGTGCAGACGTGTGTGAAACTTTCCACATCATAGTCGTATAAATCATTATAATAATGGTTGTAGTAATTCAGTTATATGAGTTATTTCGGTAAATATACTTATATTTGTATATCTCGAAATGCATTTGGACAACTTCTAAAATTTGTAAACAGTCTCTTGTTGTTATTTTTATTATAACGTAAATTATTTTTAAATTAGCTAGTTATAATTGTTTTTATGATTCAGCAGGGGAAACAATTTAAATTTGAATTAACATTTTTTCATCACTGACTTTAAACCATAAAGATTAAAAAATCACTGTTATGTGCGAATATGCGTCTTTGTCTGTATGTGTGTGTGTGTGTGTGTGTGTGTGTGT